TACGACAGTAAAAAAAGCAAAAAAAGTATAAAACAAGTTACGGGGGTTTACTCTCACATGTTCTCCATTGTGCACGGTTCTTTGCCATGTCTGACAGGGTTTCCAGCATTATGTGCTCGTGATCGGGCGTTCCTAGACAGGGAGACGACAGAGTCCGACAGACATAGTCCGATCGCGGCCAAATGTAATGTAAAGGCATTTACACTCTTAGACCAAGTCATTCGTTGGCCACCTTGTTTTTCTTCTAGTCGACTTTTGCGCTCGAAGAGTGCACGGCGAGGTAAACGCTCAGTGGGCATGTGAAACATGTGCCCAAGCCAAGGAAGCCTATGCAGAGAAATCATTGGCTCCGAGATCGACAAACTCTGTCTGATCTGAAAATCCTTCGACGAACATCCTCATTACACCAACAACGCTTCGAAGGCAGTGGTGATCAAAGACAGACATCATCTAAACGTTCTTTGCACGAACATGCCAAGTTTAGCATCCGTAGAGCAGGACACCTCTTACCTCGGCATTGTAGACTCGGCCGTTCAGAGAGAGACTCAGGTTGCGTCGACGCCAGAGATGGCTGAGGTTATCAAAATCAACCCGGCTCTTAAAGACTTGCAAAGAGACGGCGATGTCGTTCGCATACTCTCACCCGTGAATTCGGCCCACCGGAAGCAGCTCGATGCCGCTAGGTTCGCAGTTCTCCAGATCGCTCTTCAGGATGTCACGTAATCCGAAATTAAACAGGAAGGGTGATGCTGTGCAACCCTCTCTTGTGCCACTGGTGATACCAAAGGCGGGGCAGAATCCGCTGTACATCAGCACTCGGCCCGAGAATGAATGGTTTGAAGAATGTTAGCCTACTTTCGGGCACAAAACCTTCTCAACAGCCGATTCTAGAGATCAGCTCGGTCAACTTCATCAAACGCGGCTCGTATGTCTAAGAAGACATCGATCGTTGACTGGCCGAACGTTTGACGACGCTCCAATATTTGGCGGAAGGTAAAGATATGATTGATACAACTACGACCGGAGCGGAACCCTTCTTGCTCTTCGCGTATGTTCTGTTGCCGCACCAGCCTGAGCCTCCTTAAAAGCAGGGTTGCGAGCAACGCAGACTAGGCTAATCCCTCTGTGGTTAGTGCAGTCTTTCCGCTTACCCTTTCTGACGACGGGCACGATATCCGCCAGGCATTAATCAGACAGGACTGCTACAGTGAGCCAGCCTTCTTTGAAAAAGGAAATTAACTCCCTATCAAGGGATGGACCTCTATTTTTGAAAAGCGCCGGAGGGAGTTCATTTGGTCCATGGGTTCTGTAGGGTTTAAGAAGCTAAATTATCAACGTCAGCCTCAGATGGTAGTGAAGCGTCTATAGGCAGCACTCTGCATTACTGAGTATTCGCCGGTGCTGCTAGCCAGGTAAACTACTGTTTAAATGCTTCGCCCAACGCAAAAATCGACGTTGTTGACAGTGGATTGGCTCGTCATTGGTTTCGCACAAGTCTTCAGTTACAGTTGCTTTTTGCTGCTAATAGATCGTATCAGAAGGAGTTTTCGGAAATTCCTCGAGATGGCCGATTTCTCTATCTCAATGACCCGCTGCGTCCACCAGGTTTCGCAATCCTCCCGGAGGATCTGTTCGAGTTCCGCGTTGGTGGTGCTGCACAGTGAATGGTATCCAACGCCGGCAGGAATTGCTCGACAAACTTCGAGAAGCTGAAGCCATCGTGCAGAAATCCATTTGTTGCAAGATTAGTGGTGAAACCACAGACCAGGGTCGCAGTTGTGCGTGTCGCTGCGAATGTGCTTAATGCGTTTCAACATCTGAGCTTGAGGAGCTATTGAGATTTGAGGCCATTGCATCCTGAAAGTTGCTGAGAACACTTGGGGCAGAAGGCCTAGAAATGTCAGGCAGTTGCCGGCGGCGCTGTTGGTAGCCACCAACCGTCGAAGTGAGGTAAGTATCCCAAATCGATTTTCTATCCTTTATACAGTCCCGCCACCGGTAACTGATGGCGATGTGGTTATTTTCTGTCCACAGCTGGCCAGTCTGTGGGAGTGTACGCTTTTACAACGAGCAAGAAACTTTTGCTGGCTCTTGGAATGTCGCACTGAGGTCTGTAGTCGGATCGCGCAGAGACGACTGTTGACATGAATCCAGTCTAATAGGGCGGCCTCCGCAAGTGTGCTCAGCGCAATTCTAACGCCAGCAAAACCAGCGGCTTCGGCGTTTGCGTTTCCAAACAAGCACACTGTAAAATTGCCAGAGGAACTCTCAGATGGTGACTCTAGTCGTGGCATCGTGCTAGGATCCTGTAAACTGGTTTCAGTGAGGCAGCAGACACCAATGGTAGTAGTCTCAAGCCTACGAGCAAGGGCTGCTTGTGATCCGATCCGCATCAGCGTCCGGATGTTAAAAGTTGCCAGCTTGAATTGGGAACGACGCGCTAAAAGGCTTGCCTATACTACTTGGCGGCGGACCCTCGAACCTAAATTTCTGATCCGTATGGTGAGAACACTCGCTCCAGGCGGCACGGTGTTGTAAACTTGGAAGCGGAGGGGGATTACCAAGGGTGGGGAAGTTGAACAAAAGTGAAATAAATCAACTGATGGTGCACTAGAGCACGATATAGCAAGTTCGGCCGGTAGCGCTTCGGACAAGGGTAGCGTTTCCGGAGAGCAGTCGTTAACACACCTAAGCTACCTAACCTGTGTGGGCATGGTACCTCCCGGTTACCCAGACCGAGGAAGAGGGTTTACTCGGGACTCCAACCCCGAGCCTTGGGTCGTAAAGGCCTGACCCGCAAGGCAGCAGCGCAATTGACATACATCGCAGACAGTTGAGAACCGGCTACCACGGTGAGGATAACAGGTTTTTCTAGTAGAACAAACTACTCAGAATGCCACAGAAGTTTGAGTGAATCTGCACGGAGCCCAGGAGGAATTTCCTGAATCACCAAACTCGCTGGCAAGCACGAAGGCCGTTGAGAGCCAAGTGGCTCAAACGTCTTCGTAGAAGCCTGTGGCCATCGATGTTGTTCATAGGTTCTCCGTTAGGTACTCACTTCTATTCGCAGAAGTGTATGGTCAGTGACCATACAGCCGGTCACATTGGTTTTGACACAGCTCTTGTCGTATTTAACGAGGAATCAGGTGACTAGCCCAGAGCCCGGCACGCTCTAGAACGCTGGCGCTGATTGTCCGCGACTGCTTATTCATCTCGCCTACGAACAACCGAGATATATTCACCGTTACCTTCGCAAGGAAGGCGTTTCTCGATTCACAACTTGGGGACGCGCCCAGTGGCGTACAGCTCCGCAGAACCAACCATTGGTCGGTTGTCTTCCGTTCTCTTTCTACCTAGTGGTTAACAGCTTGACCAGCCATTTATATGGCCTCTGATTCGGTCTTCTCGTGTATTATGGTAAGCGTCGCACCTCCGCGGCTGTAATGCAACATTAATTGGGCACATAGCGCTTCGCCCCCGGGGTGTAACTGGTACCACCCCTTTTGTTGCACTGTTTCTCGGACTGATCGACCTTGCGATTAGATGACGCGTTTCATTCCTCACAGATAGATAGATAGATCGTCAACTGTACGCCGTAACGGCGCTTCGCTGCCGCGCGACCATCACCAGTCGCACATAGACTGAGTATACCGCGAGGACGCCTACCCCAACCCGGATTCGAACCGATGACCTTATGGTTGCAAGCCAGGCGTGCAGACCACCCGGCCACCGACCGACACCCCACACCATTCAACGATCCACTTATCCGTTTTCACTACACTCACTATTTTTCTCACAGTTGGTGTCACATTTTAAACATATTCAAACATACTGCCCTATATGACTCATAGCGGACGCTAAATGAAACCTTGCTTCATCGACGTAAATGGGTAGTTGATTGAGTTTATCTTACTTTAATTAAATGCAGTCCGTGACGTTACTTCCATCTCGCTTGCTCACGAAAGTCTTCGTAGATACTGTAAGGATCATTTAAACCATCTTCCGAGCTTTAATCTTTTTTACGATACCTTGGATTTCTGTAGTTCACAATAGGTATTAGCCGAACAATTTATACGGTGTGCATTGATGGGATATGTGGTGACGACTGGGCCAGACACGATACTATTTGCCCTTAGCGTTTGCATGCTTATAAAATATCGGCATCCCTGTTTACTTTTCAGTTTATGTTCGCACACGCTCTTTTCCATTGGTTACACTGTTTCCGTTGTTTTCCATGTTTGCCACGTCTGGATTATCGGTCAAAAAACATCTCTTTCTTCGCATCAGATTATCCAGCTCATCTCGTTTATTCCACTTACAACAAGGGTATTATTACTTTTTCTTCCGCGTTCCTAAATATCATCTCTCCATACATAATTGTCATGCAATAGCTCCCTCTATCTGATTTGAGGAGCCGATGTGTAATTTCAACTTCTCGCACTGCGACATCTCAATTCCCCCTGAAAACACATGCCACGTTTACTTATCTGGTAACGAAAGTCGTCAGCAGGATGCGCGACTGTCTGTTCAAGTGAATATTACATACATTTCTCATTTGTGTTTTCATTATTGCATTCTTGGTTCACGGTTTAGCAGTGGTAGTGTAAATGCTGAGAATGCGCATATCCGGGTGTACGAAACGTTTTCTGACTTGAATTCAAATGTCCTTAGTGACGCGCGAAACTTTCGACGACCTTGATGCCATTTCATAGGGATTGACAGAGTGCGACTGACGAGTTGATGATACTCGCTCCTATATCTGCATTTTGGGTAACATTAGCCTCGAATTTCGGACCTGGAGTATGATATCTGGAGACGATTGTGGAAATTCTAAGATTAATCGTTCTATGTCTCCAACTGCCTGTATGCTTGACATAACTTCGCTAACTTAGATCGCCGGTCGTCTAATTGTTACTTAGTTGTACTTGTTAAATAAGACTCATCGAATATGTACGTTTTGAATCGTGAATTGCTTCTCAATTTTACCGTTTTGTTTCCAGAAAGAAGCTGCGTCGTGTGATACTGCAATTCACGCCACACCGATGGACAGACTTCGACTGGCGGCCAACTGGAAGTCTCAAACGGTGGCTTGGTACGCTATTCCTTTGTGCAGTTGTAAGTCAACCCTTCACCAATGCAAACATTCGATTGTTTTGCCATGGTGCCCGCTTAATGCATGCCCAACGCTAATGCATTCTTGTTCACCAAACAATGATTTGTATAGTACTAAATCATACTAGCTCTTCTCAACAACATGAGAAACTGTACGAAGCTGGACCATCCACATCATTAGATTCTACGGTGTAATGCAGTTAATCACTCCGAATCTGTGTAAGCATTCATGCTGTACGTTTGTGTTGGCACACTTCTTTCCAAAGAGAGTCCTCAACTTTTGTGCCGTATCGGGTTTGGCGCTGTCACGAAATCCATTAAGCTCAATCTCGAATTTAGTCGTTTCGTTTGGCAATTTCGCCTTCTAAACATTTACTTTAACACATCATTGTTATTGTCACTCATCGATGTGACGACTATCTACCGCGATTGTGGGCTCAGTCGACATCTCTTGCTATTACAACATTGCGTCACACGTGGGAAACAACTGCACGAAATTCGAATCGCACATTTTACGCTCTAGAACTGCCGCTGGTGGTTGACTACCTTACAGATCGAACACAAATATCCTTGACATTTTGAGACATTTGGGTTTGAATGTTCTCGGAAGAGGCCACTAGGCTGTTTGCGTTATTTATTCGTGACCCCATGCGTTGTCCGCAATGTGGGTTGCACAATCGTGGGATATCTGTGTTCTTCGTTACCAGATACAGTTTCTGTGTTTCTCACACAGTCCCCCATTATCCAGTAAACTCACATCACAATCGTGCGCATTATAAGGTGCTTGGACGTACTCTTTACACTAGTCGGTTTGTCTCACACTACAAACCTTCCGCCGGAAAAGACTGTTGCTACAGGTGTGCTTAACCGAGCTTTAGAGTCGCGCACCATCTGTCAGATTGGTGGCTCAGCTTGTACAAAACTGATTGCTCGCATAAGTTGTCTGAGACACGCGTTTCCCTTGGATCTCATTCCCATCTACTTTACTCGCCTAATGCACATTAAGCAGCGTTTTATGGTGCATTTTCGAGCCGTCTATGCCTTCCTATCCATCTGGAAATTTGCTTTAGTGTAACTCTCTTAGTGAAATTTTGATTACGCTTTCTGATCACGAAGATGCTTGCAGCTTACGGCATCATTCTAGCGAGGCAACTTTTTTATCTGCAGATCCTACTGGCGGAATTAAACGCCTTTTATCTAAAGTATGTTCTCTGGATACATCCGTCGCACATGTTGTGCCTCACCAGACTCATGTTCGCCCTTCTTTGGGGTGGACCTGCAATATACGAATATTTTCAGTTCATGGATGATCCGTGAGTTCTCTACCCTACTGTTACTGTGTGCATATCTACTAGCTCCATCGAAATCCGCTTCGTCTGATCATTTGGTGATAGATCATAACACTACATCTCTTGTTTGCATCCAATCCAGAAACTGCAGACGCCTAGGGAGGCAGGCGTGGATGTTCTGCTGCATCATCATCACTGAACTGCTCATAGTGATAAAATTCGGCTGGGAAACAGTCACGAAACCTCTCCCTCGACATATCGCTACATTTTGGATACTCTCAATCTTGGCATTGGCTTTATGGACTTTTCTACGCTTCTACGTCACACGATGGTTAATCAAGGCCAGTCAACATCCAGAGGAACGTGAACATGTGGATTAGTCATGTATTGTCGCTACCGAATTTCTCTACCCCCCTTATCGCCTTCAGTGTAATTTCCCATGTTTTACAACGCTCTATTTTTTATACTGCGTTAGTCATCTTTCAATTCGGTATATTTTGCTGATTCGGAACTCAGGTTGACGCAAATAGCTGTATTTTCCGAAAATCCTGTTTCTTCTTCTTTCATGTGTCGGTGAGCTAAGTAATCACACGATGTTCTGTGAACCCGATTTCAAGCTTAGATGTCGCACCTTATCGTAATCGGACGGTTCTTGCACATCACTACGTTCCTAAGTGGCCATCAATCATCTAAATCGATTTGAGTTTCAGCATCACAATGATGACGCATTCCCCGAAAACTCTTTCTTTTCGAGCTTCGATTAGTTTGTTCCCATCCGAACACTTCTGGGAGCGGTTAAACCTATTCGAAATGAGTGACAATGCGCAATAGGAATTCAAATTGACAGACAATCTTGCACTGCAGCGTGCTAGCTGTAACTGATGTTATTGTCCTGTGGCTGAGCTGTACGCTGTGGGGCGCGTTCCCAGGTTGAGGATCGGTGAATGCTTTCCTCGTGGAGGTAACTTTGAATAAATCTCGTTTGCTTTGCAGGCGAGCTGAATAAGCAGTCGCGGACAATCAGAGGCAGCGTCTCAGAGCGCGACAGTTGCTGGGCTGGTCATCTGATTCTCCAACAAGTACCACAAGTGTTCGTATGGCGATGTGTCAATGCGAATGTGACCGGCTATTGGGGTCACTGACCACTCACTTCTCTAACCAGAGGTGAGTATCTAACGAAGTGTAGATAAACAACCTTGCTGGCTAACGGCTTCTATATGGACTGCTACCGAACACAAAGAAAGCGAATTAGCCAGACGGCTATCAACGGTCTTCGTGAATCGCCCCGCTGCCTTGCGGGTCAGGTCTTTATGACCGAAGGCTTGGGCGTGGTTCCCTAATTCAGCCCTCTTCGTCGGCCTGAGCAACCGGGAAGATCGGTTGTTCTGAAGTTCTCCGAGCTGGGCAAATTGATTGCAAACGTTTCGCCACCATTCGAGGTGGCATCTTCAGTGCGGGATTGATAGCAGTTAAGTAGCAGTAGTTAGTAGAAAACAAACCCAATAATGGATACTATCAACAACCACTCCGTTCCTTAATTTGGCATACGGGACTATTAATTTTACCTCGTTCTCATTGGTGAATCATTGTGTTCAGCGGTCGTGCTCGAGTCATTGATTGCGGAAATGTTGTTGCGACGTGGCTGGGATTATCGCACTCGGATTGGTGCAACGGGTGTGGGTGATCATTCTGGGCTCACATTGACCATGCTGTTCATTATCTGTATATTGGATTAGGTTCTTTCGAACAACGGTTGTTGATCCTCCTGAGCTCTCTCTGTCTCAGCGGTTGGTATATTGGATCGATGTCGATATGCATGTTGATTGAGTTCGTGGTTGAAAACCAGACTTCGAGAAACTCCCTCCCTTTTTGTGTTTCTCCTTCGGTCAAGATCTCTACTTTGTTCCAGTCGAAGCTGTGTCCCTCTTCATCCACGTGTGCTGAAACCAATGAGGTTGCGTAGGGTTTCTTGCACGCTCTTTGGTGTTCATGTATCCTTGTGGACAGCTTCCTTCCTATTTGTCCCGCATAGTGCTTTTCACAGTTTACGCAGTTTATTCTATATACGACATTCCGCCGCTCTGGTGTCTCGCTTTCCTTTTGGTTTTGACAATGTTATCCTCAGAGTGGCGGTTGGCTTGTGGGATACTATGATATGATCTTGTTTGAACAATCTGACAGTGATTTCAGATACGTTCCTTATATACGGCAGAACTATACGTTTCGTCATAGCTGACGTAGGTACGGTTTTTGAGGGCTTGCGGATTAAACATCTTCGGAGGAAACTGCGTGGGTATCCGTTGCGTTGAAATGACTTGAATAAGTGTTTTTCTTTTGCTCGTTTCGCTTCTGTCGTACTGCAGTGAGTTGCTATTTTATGATCACATCGATTAGATCAGTAGCTCTCGGGGAAGTAATGTAATGTAATCTCAACAGTCTATTAACTAGACATAGAGCCAGCATAAAACCATGGAGATCAGCAGATAAGAAAGATTCATCGCGTGGCATGCTAGTTGAAGGTGAGCAACATACTTCAACTAATATGCCGCAAGGAAGAATGGAACATTTCGATAAAAAGTAGAACAAAACATTTTTAGTTTGTTTTTCACACGCCGCTTTTGCTCTTTTTTGTCATTTTAATCTTTGTAGTATTAAACATGTGAATCAATACAATACTGTACACAATTCTTCCACTGATTCCGGTTGCAGGCCATATCTTCAAGAGTGCTAAGCCATTGGCACTCCTCATCTTTGGGTCCCCATCCTGGAAGACGTACGGATCCAACGGTGGCTAGACACGACGTCAGCGATTTCACGTGCTGCCGCCAAGTGGAAGGCTGACCACCACGCGGTCGCCTCCAGCCAGGTCCTTGGCAAGTGAATAGTGCGCGACGCGGTAGACGCTCAGGTGCCATGCGTAGGACGTGACCGAGCCTGAGGTAAAAAGTAGGTCTAGTATATTTTTACCCCTGGTAGCCACGAGAACATGTTGCTGCCAACCATCAGTGATGACGGAGGTTATGAACTCAGCATGTTTCGCGTTTGTTACTAAGTTTGACCAACAGATAACTGGTAGGTTGAAATCTCCACCTACTACTTTACCAATCGAGGATGTCAACCAACTGGTTCTGGTCAATGATGCTGGCCCCGGGCGAGTGGTATATACAGCCTACAAGAGTTCGCTTAGTACCGAAGCACAAGAGTAACCAAGGGGAATCAATAGTGGGGCGTATAAGTGGACGTATGAATTCAGAGACAAGGAGCTTTTGTCAATAGTAAATTGTGCAACCACTTCTGTCTTGCTTTCGATCACTTCTAATATGCTTGTAACTTTCCATAGAAAGCAGCTGGCTAAGCATAGAATCATGACACCAGGTTTCAGTGAGTAAAATCATATCAGGCTTATGAAGGTGGGGAGTAAATGAAGTTTATTCAAAAGAGAACGGATATTAATTATCATCAGTCTTAAAAAATCCTGGTGCTGTTCATCATTCCACCTAGTATTTACTCTTACAATCACATTAGTTCTATAGCCTTCCGCAGCAAATCTCTTACCGTGAGATTCTCCAATCCTATCGGAATTAGATAAGGTGGGGGAATGCAAAAAGAATGCTGTGGTAATTTTGGGTGATTGAGTTTAAGTGGATAAGGTGTTATTGCCGAAGAACTCGCAGAAGGCATTGTGAGAGGAGGAGACGGAAGAGAGTATGGATAGGGGCATAAATAAGTGGTCTGTGTTTCAGCAAAGCCATGTACAGGTCCGCCAGGAGATCAGCCTTGGCACATCGCCGGAACAATGGGAAAATGTGGCTTGTCATTCCGTGTAGCAGCATTATTATTCACGACTGTCATTTAGACACGGGGAGTCACCTATCCAGTATGAAGGCTGCTGTTTGAACTAACACGCTTAGGACGTGGGTCATAGCCACCGCTGCTATGTGTAATGTTAATAGGCCGTAATGCACCTTCAATAGATCTATCGATAACCCCATTGGATGTTTTTGCACTTGTATCTGTTTCAATCGCGGTGTGGGGATTGAGCCTAACCCCTACTGGTTTGTCAGAACGTGGTGCATCGAGTGAGTCTACTTTATTTCCTATGTCCACAAGACCAATGTGGTGTGGAGGCGTGAACATCTCAATTTCCACTACGCTGTCGCCAATGTTAGCATCACTTGTGTGGAGAGTGGCTTTGCCAACATTATCTGCGTTTTTAGAAGGGGAGAACCAAACACTGTTGAATGACCTCCTTCTTGGCACTCCAGGAAGCGCGCAGGGGGGATGACTCTGCTTCGGCTCAGGCGAGATATTAGTTGCACTCATGCGTTGAAGCTCACGTTGCAAAGGTGACCTGTCTTCGAATAGAATAACTGCAAAATGTCGGAACAGATCTTAAAGTATTTTGATAAACGCACTTGCAAAACTTTCGCTACGAAAGCTGAACAGAGTCGGATAAGGAAAACGTAAAGATTTTTCCCTCAATCTTCTACAACTAATATCGGTCTCAGCGATGTTGCACGCCCTCGAAACCGTATGCCTAATGTTGTCAATCATGATATTGTCAGTTATGTTGAGGGCGATGGCGTTTCTTCCCCTCTGCATCTTTGGATAACCTCAGAGGCGACTGTATTTAGGAAGTTTAATGCTCCGATTTTGCGCTGGATTAGCCAGAGACTGAATTATGTATGAAACTGACATAAGGATATCTCCGAAATGAGTCGAACAACTTTAGTATCTCATTTTGTTCCGCTAACTGTTTCTCCAACATCTTTATTTTGGCTGACAGTGGAGATATATGGTCGACAACACTAACTGAACTCTCTGTCATTTGTCTTTGGGACTTATTTACCTGCTCTTGAATCCCAGACGGCTCGAAATGTGTGCAACAAGGCACAGGTTCCTCGGCACTCGTGACCGCAACGTTATTTACCGTGATTATTCGGTTCTCCACACGCTTTTTCCTCATTGCATGAGTGTTAATGGCAATCATCTATCTTTTAAATGGGAAGATAAAAGCTATCTAGTATATGCTATAGCCAAACGTGCATTCTAGGGTAACAAAGGTTGTTAAGGTTCAGTGACTTACCTATTCAGGTCAACAAATAGGCCAATGTTTCAGATGCAACCAACGATACAAACCAACCGGATGTAAGAGCGCTCATTTGTCCAAATTCCGCCAAGGGCAGATCGTTTTTCAGTAATATATATATATATATATATATATATATAGGCGATGTCCGTTCTTTATCGGTAGGATGCCCGATATCTGCAGCGCTTCCATCAACAGTATCCTCGCCGTCTTTTGCGCATCTGCTGGAGTGACCGAGTTTCAGATACGGAGGTGCTCCGACGCAGTGGCATGTATGCAGTGGACTGCATCGTTCTCCTGAGGTGGCTCGGGCATATTCGCTGCATGGGTTCCACCCGGATACCGAAACAGCTGCTTTGTGGCCGAGTGCAGGGAAACGTCACGTGGGAAAACCGAAGTTACGTTACCAGGACCTGATCAAAGTGAGCGTATCACATTCTAATCTTGACTGCAGGTC